AAAGGGGTGCGTGCTTCAAATAAATGCGAGGCGTGCCTTTCGAACGTTATTAAAGGAGCGGAGATTTTGTGAAATGAAAAATGGAAGAGCAAAGAAGAAACTTGAGGCAACATTCCGTGGAATCCGCGATTAAATACGATAAATTTGTTCATATCTCCTTAGTAACTATATTTGGTTATTTAAGCTTAAATATTTGTCATTTCAATTCTTATGGAATCACATTCTTTTGCAAATCATCTGATAAACTCGAAAGAGTAACAGAAAAATAAGAAATTTATAATAGCTGACCTCGTTGAGTGGTTGAAGAGCACGGGACGGTTCGGTGAATTTTCAGAGCTGAAACAAAAGAATTTAGATATGGTGGTACCTACGGAATTGAAATTCCTTTTGAACCTCTTCCTCGAAAGAAAAAAAACCCGATTGCTCGGCAGTCCTCAAGTCACCTTATGTATTTTTCATGTTCACCTATTGAGAGCTCTGCTAGATTAATCACTGACAGCACTTAATATTTGCAATTAAACCTCCAAGAAACGTTATTCATGGAACGAATGTGGGGCAAATCGTTTCGGCGGAAACTTTAGCACCATTTGATAGCCCTCTTTCCTGGGGTGATTAATCCAATCTACATCAGTTTGAGAGGATGAGACCGAACGATACTTTTCAGAATGAAGCTAAGTGGAGGCTAAATCAATAGTGATTCCAAAGGGATAGATGGACGTAAGATGGGCGGGTTACGCTCAAGATTTGTCTATTCCTTCCGTAAAAAAACCCCATCACCCTCTTTCTGCTCAAAATCACCTTCACCAAGAGTGGCCGTACAAGGGACTTTTCCAGAATGTTTTCTACTTTTTTTTCCTTCAAGGATAACTTAAGTAGCTTTTAACACCGCTAACTAACAACCATACGAGATTGTCTTCAATATTAGTTAACGGAGAAGAGCTGAAAAAGAGTGTAATTGCGGCACTTTGATGTTTGATGCCTTCGCACCGCAACTTAATAAGCCAGCACAGATGGAAGAGCAAGAAAAGTTGAAGCATAAGACGTTGACAGGCCCCTTGTTGAGATGCGCCACGCCTTCTGCATTCAATTAGCAATTATAGCAGTTTTGGGATGCATTGAGAAGATCTTCATAGGCCAGGCGATGAATAAATCGGCGCATCTGTCTTCATTACATGTCTGGTGCCGACTATTCGAAATCGGAGGAGCGGAAACCTGCGCAGGATTGGGATTTGACCTACGAGGTCCGCGTGGTAGGTAAAACCACGCTCTTTTCAGATGGTGGGACCCTCCTGTCCACGAATAGGTCGCTTTGCCCGTGATGGTCACGATTGCACCACCCTGGCGGCGTGAATACGAGTGGCGAGGAGGTTCACGCCACCCTTCCACTCATTGGCCCGACCCATCTTCATTGTTCAATGGCCGCTTTTTCCAGAAATCACGACAAAAAAACCGGCAAATTTGGCTCCTTTCTTTGATTACTTGAATGCCATTAGGCTTCAGATACTAACAGGGAATCTTTTCGTTAAAGAAACTACCTATTTTTTGGAGTCACTGGCATGTGCCGTCTGAGTACGCAATTACGACCAAACTATCTCTCGGAAACAGAGGGTAGACAGGGATATTTGTACCAACAGAGAGGGAGCGAAGGGTGTGATTGAATGAGGCGACAGGATAGCGGTGCAGGGCACGCCATCGTTGTGATCATCACAACGGGGGGGGTCGTATTTGACCGCGAGGGAGGGGGGTCGTATTTGGTCAGAGAAAAATTTTTTTGATAGTTGATTTCTCTTGTTTCACGGACGCTGTAAAGGGGAGGGGTCGTATTTGTCTTTGAGAGAAATTTGTGCAGTGTTATGAAAAACTCTTCGGTGTTATGAAAAACTCTTCCCGGTTGCTGGGTTTTCGCGGTATTCCCGTTGGCTATATACCTCCCCCAGACCTCCCCCGCACAAAAAAAATTTTTTGGGGAAAGATTTGCGATTTCTCGGTATTTTTTAAACTTCTCGGGGGTCGTATCAGCAGATGGAACTGGGAAACATATTTTTCAGGAATTTATTTATCACTACGCGATGACGTGCCCTGTAGTGGTGGTAGACATGATCGCCAGAACTGATCTCGGATGACTTCTTATCGACTAGGATTAGGATAACTCGGTAGGGG